GACATATGGCTTCTTCTTTGCATGATAGAGCTATAACCTGGGTTTGTGGATGAACTGTAATTTCTGAAAGTCTTCCTGATTTCTCCAGATTCTCAGAACCTTTTGATGTTATGTTTTCAAAAATGTTATATAGTGAACACCAACAGATGAGGAACAGAAGAAGAAAATTTTGTCTCCCTGTTATCTTGAAACATGCAGGAAATTTGTGACTTTTCCTGTTTTGGGCACCAAATTGAGATTTGCATAATTTGCAAGTCATAACTCCCTGCAGCCCTCCAGATACAGGCAGCAAACATATTCCAGGAGCATGTGTTTTAACTATGACAAAGTCATGTGAATTTGAAGCAATATCAGGGTTCTGCTGGCTTATCAAACCAATTTATTAGGACAGTATTGAAAAGAACAATAACAGCGTTTCAGACTTGTGATGGTGAGTGACTGCAATGTCAAACGTGTTGAATATGCAAATATTTACCACGCCACTGCAGTCTTCCTCGATGCTTTGAATACTTATGTATTTTTCAGCTTGTACTGGTTTTACTTTCTGCCACTTTTTTTTGTTTTTTTACACAGAGAACTTTCACGGACAACACCAAACAGCAGAGGACAAGGTAGTGACCAGGCTGCTCATACCCCCTCATCAGCTAAACGGTAGCAATGGGACTACATATAGCACAGTGCAAAACTTTGGAGCTACGCCTCATTTCTTTATATTTTGCTGGGAAAATTGGAAACCTATATGGAAATACAGCACATCGCTCCATAAGACCTGCTGTCACTGATTTACAGTCCAGTTCTTGTGTAATTTGGGATCGCTAAGCCTTTTCTCCTTGTTTCCCTTCATCAGGAAAGGTTTCCTCCCATTTTTAAGGACACACTGCCCCCCCATGCTGCGATATACCAAGTTTTTGGCTAATAGCTCTTTGAGAATCACCACTTCTAACTAGGTTACCTTTGGTATTTTTCATAAACTCACTAAAGAAATGGGAACAAATTGTGTATTTTGTGACAACCTGAAAAGTTGTTCAAAACCACTTAAAAAAAATACAAAGTCTGGCTCTTTGGAAGCAAAATGCAACGAATGAGGGGTTGTTAAAGACTTTTATATACTAATATATGATGAACATGCAAAAGGCGTTTTATTGAACTGAAAATGTTTTGAGATGTCGTAAAACTAAAAATTTAATGAAGGTACCCTTTTCTTTGGTCTTTTTTTTAAACTCCAAGCATCAAATTTAATTTTTTCTATCATCTAAAAGTTTGTGTTACTAACTGCACAAACGTCCTCATCACTTCTGTTGATTACCTCACCGACTTTTAGTTTGTGTCCTCTTACAACACTGAGTGCAGGTTTTCCATTTCCTTTAACGCACCCAGGACACGCTCGGCATCTCCTGAGAAGAGCTGGAGGCGGCGGCTGGACCGAGAGAGTCTGGGCGTTACCTGAAAGTTGGCCCAAAATGCTGACTCGGAAGTAATTTGATTACATGTAAATTTCCCGTGTAATTTTGTCAAATGAAAAACACAAAATTGAATTAAATCTAATCAATTGGCAATTATTTGACATCAAAGAGAGCTTTGTATGACCCACAGTGCAAAATGAGTTCATCATCCCGAGCTAAAGTAACTTTAAAATACCTTAATATTGGCTTTTATCCATCAAAACTAAATGCACTGCA